CCGAAGGGGGGGCTGGCCCTGCGGGATCCCCCGGCCCCACGAGGCCCTGCCCCCCTCTTTGGGGGCACCCGGCTCTCGGTAGACATCCTCGAGTGCCCCAGGTTAGGTCTCTGGGAGTCCCAGGGAGGCAGCGAATTCAGAAGAATCACTTTTTTTTTTACCTCCCCAGCAGTTTGGAAAGCATTTTTGGCTGGTCAGAGGAGCGACTTTCTCTCAGGGCTTTGTCCGCTGACAGCCCCTCCGTGCCGATGCCTGGCTGGCCTGTGCTGTGGCTACTTTGTAGGTGGCAAACTTGCCCAGGGCTCTGTGCCAAGAGCCCTGCGCTGGCTTTCGGCGAGCAGCCTGTGCTAAAGTACCACCCCACCACCTCCTCAGGACAACAGAGGGTTTCCTTGGAGCCTCTCACCCTTACGCTGTTGCTAGCCTGCGGTTTACCTGCTTCAAAGCCATCATTTAAGAGCCATTTCCAAGCAGGACAACAAACATCCTGAAGCAGTGAACTAGACACAGTGCCTGGCAATCATAGCCCAGAGCCGAGATCAGCCCAGGTCATGGGGTACAAGATAAAAATCACAGATACCAGTCTCACACCTGGAAATATCATTACCTTTGCAGCACTGCTTTGCTTTTACTGTGTCTAAACAAAGAGTGCTTTGATGGGTGGCAATGCTGACGTGAACCTGCTGGCCAGCACCAGCACAAACGCTGTGTGTTGGTATTCTGGGCCGGCTGCTGATTTAAGATGTTGCTGCTCACTATACCCAGAACTGAGCAGAGCCAGCGCTTGGCACAACTGCGCCTTGCACTACATGCCTGCACCCACTGCCGTTAGCAGGGAGAGCAAAGCTTCCACAGCCCTTGCAAGTCAGCATGTCAATGTAGACGGATCAGCTCCTCGCTTAGGAAAGAGCTCCCTTTTAGGTCCCAAAGGTCCTGTCCGCAGCCTCCCAGGTAGAAATATGCCTGTTTGTTCCTCCAGCAGCCGCAGGACCACGTGAATGGATGATAGTTTGCTGTCTCACAGGGATACTGTGAGCCTACCTCTGTAGGCTGCAATAGCCTCAGATGGAAAGCAGGATTCTTGGGTTTGTTACCTTACACACTTTAGGTTGAAAGTGGAAACTGAAGTTGCGCCTACACAAATCACTGTACCAGGATCTACCCATTTCCCCTACATGCAGGGACTCTTGCTATCATCTGGAGGCCACAAGATCTAAACTAGCAAGCTTTTGTCTTGTCTTTGCAGCTCCCTGGCAATTGGAACCACAACTGGATACAGGCTTTTCTCCTTGAGTTCTGTGGAGCAACTGGACCAGGTCCATGAAAGCAGTAAGTCTCCTGTTCCGCTGTGGTGGAATATTGGCTGACAGACTTTACCTGTGTTACTGCACTTCAGTCTGCCTTGAGGGGGTGATTCTGCTCACTGCTGTTGCAGAAGTGACACCCGTTTCTGCTGTACCCATATCAGGAGAGGAACAGCTCTGGCTATTGCCCTGTGCCCAGCAGCCTTTACAGCGAGCTACAGCCTTGGAGGAGCTTCTGAACAGTCAGTAGTACTTTAACAAAGTTGAAGGACTCCCACAAGTTTAGAGTCCAGCTTCTTTTTCACTGCTGTCAGTCTGACAGCAGCAGTTTGTCCTGCAAACCAGCATTCAGAGGTAGTTTACCACTAGCATGTTTCAGATACACAGACAGGAGACTGCAGACTCCCAGCACAGATGCTAGATAACTCGCAGGCTTTTAGTCCTATGTGGAATTTACAAGCAAGATGTTTTTAACAGGTTTCCCACGTAAGAAGGTCATTCACAGCAGGCTTTCAGTGATTAGCTGTGCTCAGATCAGCATGCAATGCACTTAACAGCCTGAAACAAGTCAGGCCTCATGGAGCACGTACTCTAGTCTGGTTCAGGCCACAGCCAGAAGTGTTTCAGCTGAGATGCACTAGAAATACACCTCACAGCTGGAATATGCTAGTCTCTCTCCACTGGCTATAGAGGGAATCTCGGCAACCAGACATAGCTACATCATCTGGAACAGAGCCCAGGCTCCTTTCCTCTTTACCTCACAGGGTAACTCAGCTGCTATACAGCAGCAAGCTATAGGCTTATTTTAAAAGTATTTAGGAGCTTGAATTGCCCCCAGAGTCAGACCAAGGGCCAGAGAGTAACAGATCCCTGCTGGTGAAACGCTCAAGGTGATGGGCTGAGACACAAGCAGTCCTACATCATGGCTGTGGGGCAGTCCCCGTACCTCCAGCGCAGTACAGCCCAAGCACTGAGCACCATTCAGGGCTACCTACACTAGAAGTCATAGTCCCTGATAATTTAGGTACAGGTCCACCAGGACCATTGCAATGGTGCCTTCTCAACACAACAGGAGTCATTCCAAACATGGTCTTTGCAAGACATACCACACCACCATTCACCACAGCCATACTAGAGCTCTCTAGAGACCACAACCCCAGTGACAGGGAAGGACTAAACATGTCAGCCTTCCCTAAGGAGGCTAGGAGAAATCAGACACCATGCAGAATAAACAGTGAGTTACACACAGCTTGCACCTTACCTCAGCAAACCCTGGCTTGTTCACTCTCTCCAAGAAAGTCCCTGACCAAGCTGGGTGAGCTCCTCCTTTTTATATCCCCTTCCCAAGGATTAACTACAGCTGGAGGGCCCAAGGATTAGCTTCAGCTGGAGGGCCCTGCCCAGGAGAGGCACAGCAGCACTGTCAAAGGGGGCTAGCTTGAATTCTGCCTTCAGGGGAAGGTTCATTAACCCTTTCCTGCTCTGTCCTAAATGCTTTGTGCCAGGTATGAGAAATTTTTAATGAAAGCAGATGTTGAACACCTTAGCACTGAGCGTTCCAACCCGATTCCCTCTTGAGTCTTACTTGTTGCTGCAATCAAACCAACCATAAGCCAAGCTAAAGACTGTGTCTTGCTTTCCTTCTGTGCCCAGATGAAATCCCAGATGTTTACATCGTGGAGCGTCTGTTCTCCAGCAGCCTTGTGGTTGTGGTCAGTCATGCCAAGCCACAGCAAATGAATGTCTACCACTTCAAGAAAGGGACTGAGATCTGCAACTATAGCTATTCCAGTAACATACTGTCCATCCGGCTGAATCGTCAGGTAAGAGGCTGGGGAAAGGGGTTAGCCAGAGTTGTCCCACTCTGGCTCTTTGCTGGTGTTGACTTTCCATCTGGGACCCCGCTGCCTAGCAGAACAGCGGCAGCCCAGGGAGGTTTGGACGGAGACTGTGAAGGGGGACTGGAGGGGTAGAGGTACCTGTCCTCTCCTACCAGCTTCATTTCAAGCTTGGTGACCTCTGACAGAGGAGCAGGATGGCTGTGGATAGCGTCTGCCGCAACTGTTTGCTTCAGTAAAATGAAGCTAAGTCCTTGTTTTCGTAGCAGTTACACAAAGGCTTTTTGTTGTCTGCCTTCTTGCCTATTCAGCACGCAACTCTGCCAAAAAAACACCTTTTCATCTTCCTCCCTCCCTTGGATTCCACATCCTGACTTCAGGCCCACCTCTGCCATCTTGGTTGCAAATGAGACCTTCGAAGTTGGTAACAAAACCCAGGAGTAACTTGAACTCCGTGGATGAGGCGAAAGGCTGCTTCTCAAGTGCTGCGAGCAGCCTTGTTTTATTTTTAAAGGTATAGAAAACATTCAGGCCACTTAGAAGGCGGCTTTTAGAATGTTATTCTCTGAACTGACACAGCCTCATGCAGCCTTGAGCCCTTTTGGAGGATTTTAAGTCATCTTTTCTTTTTGTCCATAATTATTTTCAAAGTATATGCCGTAAGAAGCAGAGGACCTTTTACAATGAAGAAATAAGCAGTCTGTGTAATTGTATATAATCAGCCTCTCCTCAGTTAGCAACAGTGAGTCCTGCAGTAAGGCTCTCCCATAAGAAAACTCTGGGTTGAGTTTCCAGTAAAGCTGTGTTTGACTAGAAGTTCCTGTACTACAATTAAATCTGTCCTAAATTGATTTTTTTCACTTAAATTTACAGTGGACCTGGCAAAGTAAGGACTTCCATTGAATTGCAGATAGATGTATATGTATAAAAATAAACTGGGAGGTTCTGCTTAGCAGCTCTAGGAGATTAGCGTGAGAATAAAATAAGTTCAGGCTTTTGCCCATGTGCTGTTCTGGCGATTGCCTGAAGATGATGCATAGGCCCAGCCTTTGCATCCGTGTTCCTGGGCTGCTTTATGAGCTTCGGTTCAAATCCTGGGCTGAGCTCATCCTTTAGCTGTAACACAGACACACCTGGCGAGATGTGAAGATGCTACCGATACTTGGGTAGACAGAAGAGAAATGACTGTTTCAATCTACGTTCAAGATTTAAACTGGTGGCAGTCAGGTTCTGCGTGTGCTGTGACATTTGAACCCCTCGCCTGGGCTTCTGTATGAAAGCTATACTTCATTAAAAGTCCATAGAAGGCCAAATCCCATACAAGGCATTAACACGGGAAAATGGTGGCAAATAAGCCAGGAACAGTCTCAAACAAATGGTGTGTGTTTCGATTTGAGCTCGCTGTGAAAAAGTCCTCGTTCTGCAAACGAGTGAGTCCCTCAGTTGTTGTTGATCCATGGGAATTCTTTCTTCCAAGCTCCGTTGTAACTCTCAGATGTGTTAAGGTAGATCGTGATTTGTCTTAAAGTGGGGAATAAGGCTGTGCTGTGGGACCGGTGAGAAGCTCTCCTGTAACCCCCCTGGGTTTTCATTCACTGCTGAAACCCTGCTGAGCTCTTTGGAGAGGTTTGGTACTTTTCCCTGGCTGCGTCCATACCCAGCACATTGAAGTCCTCAACATACAACTCAGTTATCTAACCTGATTCGTGTCAAACTGAAGTACTAAAGAAAAATACTGGTGAGCAGTAACATTTTGTACAAGACGCAGTGCCTTGAACCCTGTGTAGCAATCACAGCACCGGGCACCTTCTCTGAGGCTCCGTCTGTGTGCACGGTGAGGATAAAGCCCATTCCTCATCTCAGCAGGGTTTGCACTGACGTTAGCATGGGCTACAGGGCTGCATGGAGGGCAGGAGGCAGAGAACGAGCCCTCTCCAACTCCTGGTGAGCTTGTCCAGGCCTCCTTCGCCTGTTCACCTCCCACCCCCGTCCCTTTCCTGGATTTTGTCCCTGTCAGTGCCAGCATCTCTTGCTGCAGCTCTGGCTGTTGCTTTGCTGTCATCTGGAAACCTCCCTTCACCTGTACATCAATAGCACTGCGTTTTGCAGTTCTGGGAAAGCACATGGTGGCTTTGCCGAAATCAGCTGTATAAATATTACTCTGACGGTCTCTGCTAGCAAGTTGATGGCTGTTACTGTAGAAAAGACAAAGTCTTCCTGGAAATGCAAAATGGCTCTGACACAGCCCCAGATGCTGTGGTTAGCAGGAATAGAAGTGGGAAAGAGTTTGATCCGAGAGTAATGGTGGAGCAAGGCAAAGATTTTCTAATGTGGGTGTTTCAAGTTAGTGACTAAGCTCCACATTTAGATACTAAATAAGTGGCCTCATTTCTAAAAAGGTGGAGGCTTCCTGTACATGGATTCAGATGCTCCAACTTCAGGAGCCTGGATGGAGCCTGGCCTTACATTTTTATTGGGAGGTTTTCAGCACTTCTGGAGACTTGGCACTAACATAGGTGGAGCTGTGCGCTCGCTGGGCTTAGAAAGCACAACCCCTCAGCCAGATCCAAAGCCTGGTCCCAAAAAAGCCTCTATGCAAAATGCCTCCGTTTAACACGTAGAGATCTGGACCAAGCTGAGACACAAAGCTGAGTGGTCGTGGAGATGGCGACCCAGCGCTAAGGTTATAACATTAGGCTTCCTTTTTCCTTTCTGCCTTTCCTCCCCATCGCTTGGCAGCTCCTCTCTGAGCAGCTGCCTCGTGGCTGGGTGGGTGGGTGTTCCTGACGAGTTCAGCAGAAGAGGTACAAGCACATTAACTTGGAAATGCCCTACCCATCTGCCAAGATGGTGTAAATACTCGGTGTGAAACACTAACCACTGTGACTGTCCCTGAACAAATGTTTCCCAGCCCAGTTTTTATGCAATTCTGCTGCACAACTCAGGGCACATAAAGGTGTCTTGCCCGCTGATGCCGAATGGGAAAAGAAACATTAATTTGATGAACAGATGCATTAGGTTTAGCAGCAGTGGGAGGCCCATCACCTAAACGTTCACTCCCCAATCGGGAAAAAATCAGGGCGAGGGGCACGTAGTCCCATCTGTAGGCATACTGACAAGCAGGATTGGCAGCCTCTCTGCTGCCTGGTCTTCATGATCAAAAAGTAATTTGCTATGAAAAGAACTGCAAAGAAAAGGTGGGGTAGGAATTGATGGCAATCAAGGCCCCATGGCTAGGGTATAACCCTGATGTGTCTTCCTGTTCCTGGGGTCTGGGAATGTGGAAGATCAGCTCTTAGAGTAGCAGAGCAGAAGTCATGATACTTTATCTGCTTTCTAAAGCAAGACCAGATGCAGGCGGCTCTCAAAAGCAGTCTCATACAAAATCAAAGGTTGTCCAGTGAGAGGGGATGGAGAAGCAGAAGAGATCATGTTTCTGTTACATTTTAGTGCATGAGAAATTCCTGTTGAGTTTTTCTGACAGTGAAGATTTGGGTTTGTGAACTGCGGGAGCAGCAGACAGAGGCACGGTGCCCATGCTGGTGAGGTTCTGTGCATGTCCCTTGTGTCCTTTGCAGAGGCTGGTTGTTTGCCTGGAGGAGTCAATTTACATCCATAACATTAAGGACATGAAGCTTTTGAAGACTATTCTGGATATGCCTCCAAATACAACAGGTAAGCATGGGAGAGCTGTGTGAAAGGGAGAGATCAGCTCTGCAGGAGCTTTGTAGAGCCACAACGCTGGTGTTAGTATTTAAACCAGCCTGTGGGTTGTATATCCTAATTCAGCACTGGGGAGACAGAAATGCGCGGAGGCAGTCAGTCGGGCTTGGGAGAGCAGAAACCCCGCTCTGTCCTGAGCAAATGCATCACAGGAGAGCAGAAATGGTCAGCATGGTTTGACTTCACCTCCCAGGTTCGATCCCTTCCTGTCCTCGCGCGGGATGTCTGTGCAGCTCACAGCTTCCCGCAGTGTGCCTTTATTCTCTTTCACAAGTGGAAAGCTGTAAGGCAGGCCAGGACCGCAAGTTTCCCTCCACATATAGGACAACTTGAAACTCTCCCTCCGGGGCTCCCTGCCCTTCCTTCACCGTGCCCTGCATCAGAGAGTCCCGCGGCGTTTTTGCTCTCCGGACGAAGGAGCCCCGCTTCCCTGTGCTGCTGGCGTGAGTCAGCTCTGCAGCTTCACACCGTGCTGCAGAGCTCGGCACTCCCTGCAGACCTGCGGTTAACCCAGGTTCTCTCTCAGCCATGGACATGCACTGCTCCACTAAGGTAGAAAGCTCCTGTGATTACTTATGGGCTTGGGGTCAGCTCCCAAAGTGATTAGCACTGTGAAGATCACCTCGGGGCAGAAAACACAGCCAGGCACAGCGCTAATTCCCTGCCAGGGGGTTCCCAGGAGCCCGGGCTGCCACCTGATATTATTCCATATACGCTGCAAACCCAAGGAGCAGGGCAGGTGGCTGCAGAACAGATCCTCTCTGTGAGGCACAGGGTGAATCCGGCTTTCCTGCTCATGGGAGCGGAGCTATTTTTAGCCGCAGAGAGGGAAACTTGGCCGAGCGCCTGCGGCAGCGCTGCCGTGCGTTGCTGTGATATCCTGGTTGGTCACAGGCTGCAGCATCGTTTCACGGGTGGTTGATTGGGAAGTTGCTGATGTGCTCACGCCTGGCTTCTGGGCTTTCAAGGGACGCTCTTCGGGCGGCTCCCCTGACCTACTTCAGGTCTCAACAGATGGCCTCTCCCTGTGGATTAAACATACTAAATACTGCAAATATAATTAAAGTTTAAAACCTTCCTGAGAAAGCCCAGCAGCGGCAGGCAGGGCAGGGATACCCAGGCCTGAAGCTGTCCTGCAGTGGGGCTGAACGATCAGGTCATGATTTAAGAGCAACAGCAATCAGCGCTCACCGGGACAGCACTAGGCTGCTGCAGATTACAGAACTTCATAGGGGCTTAATTTTTTAAAACCCTTTCACCACAGCAGCTGTCATTGAAATGAGCTGAGCGACAAGTGCTGGGCCACGCGTGCTCCCTTTGTCCCTGGACCATCTGCTTTGGTCCCAAGCCTGACCTCGAGGACAGCGTGTCCAGGAGGCTGAGGCAGTCCAGCCTCACCACTCTTCGGACAACCCTTTTCGGAGTGGGGATCTGTGCTGGGGGGGTGTAGGAGCACACGGCAAGCATGCCGCCCCCCCCAAAGTGTGCACCGTGGGCACGGTAACACCAGCAGAGTGAGGACTGGGATTTGCTGCATACCCACCGGCCAGTCACAGTGAGATCCCTGGCTATTCCTGGCCAGGACCTGGCTCCTGATCCACCCTCCTCCACGCAAGAGAGGATAATGCCCATGGTGGGCAAGCCTGTTGTTTTTCATGTGTGCTCAAAGATGTTGTTTTTCATGTGGCTCATGTCAGGGGCAGGATTTGCACTAAGGAGGTTGCAGCGCTCACGCTGACATGTGTGCCTTGGGGGCACATCCTGGGGACAACTGCAGCTTTGGAAACCACCTCACATGACTCCCCCCAAGCCCCAGATCCGCCTGGACCTGCTGGCTTAGGGGCAAGGCCAGGCTTCTTGTATGCAGTAGCTTTTTTCTGTGCTGCTCGAGGAAGCCACCTGCGATGTGGCATTCCCAGAGGTGCCATCCTGAGCAACACCACCCTGCCTCCTCCCTCACGAGCCTGCCACTGCACGCACCGACCCTCCTCAGGGCTGTGGGGCTGCCGAGAGCAGAGGAGCATCTTCAAAGGCTGCCTGTGTCCCTTGTGATCCTTGTTCTTTGTGCATCCCTGAGGTCAGCCCAGTACACTCGCATCTGTGTTTTCCCCTGGCCTGGTTTCCCGTCTGCCTTTCCCAACCAGGCGCGGAGCAGAGGGAGCGGGTGACTCACACCAGCCGCTCAGAGCTTGCTTTGTTTAGCTTGAGCGTTCTCTAGATCCTTCACTTAGAGAAAGGGCTGCGCTGATCCCCCCATGCTGCCTAGGCTGGGGGAAGACTATCCTGAAAAGACAGGATGCTCATCACGAGCAAAGTCTCTGGGCTATCTCTCCCTTCCTCCTATCCCTCACTAAGGAGGTTGCAGCGCTCACGCTGACATGTGTGCCTTGGGGGCACATCTTGGGGACAACTGCAGCTTTGGAAACCACCTCACATGGCTCCCCCCAAGCCCCAGATCCGCCTGGACCTGCTGGCTTAGGGGCAAGGCCAGGCTTCTTGGATGCAGTAGCTTTTTTCTGTGCTGCTTGAGGAAGCCACCTGCGATGTGGCATTCCCAGAGGTGCCATCCTGAGCAACACCACCCTGCCTCCTCCCTCACGAGCCTGCCACTGCACGCACCGACCCTCCTCAGGGCTGTGGGGCTGCCGAGAGCAGAGGAGCATCTTCAAAGGCTGCCTGTGTCCCTTGTGATCCTTGTTCTTTGTGCATCCCTGAGGTCAGCCCAGTACACTCGCATCTGTGTTTTCCCCTGGCCTGGTTTCCCGTCTGCCTTTCCCAACCAGGCGCGGAGCAGAGGGAGCGGGTGACTCACACCAGCCGCTCAGAGCTTGCTTTGTTTAGCTTGAGCGTTCTCTAGATCCTTCACTTAGAGAAAGGGCTGCGCTGATCCCCCCATGCTGCCTAGGCTGGGGAAGACTATCCTGAAAAGACAGGATGCTCATCATGAGCAAAGTCTCTGGGCTATCTCTGCCTTCCTCCTATCCCTCCCTCTTTGTGTGCCTTTTAATTGCCTGCACTTTGCTGCTGCTGCGCCTCTTCTCCCCAGTGCGCACCATCCCTGGCATGATGTAAATCCTCTGATTGATAGGGAGTGGATCCCTGGGGCCCCTGGCTGATCCTGCAGCTCCTGGCTCCGCTGCGGTCTCTTCTCATAAACAATGACCTAAAACGAGAGCTTCAGCCGATCCTTCCCTCTGCTGGGCCTGGGCCAGGGCCGTGTCCTGACACGATGGGTTGCACAGCATGTGTGTGCGCGTCCGTGCATATACGTGCACGAGTGCGGGTATCCTGTTTGGGGAGTATGGCAGCATCCCCGGCAGCCTTTAACCCCTCGGCTTCCTCCGCACGTGGGACTAGGTGGGACCTCCCAGCGGGGGCCAGGAAGCTCAGGTCATGCTGAAGCCTTGAGTCGGATTTGGGAGGACTGTGAGCACGCGCACGTGGCGCAGGAATCAAGTGAGACCCATTTCTGTATGTGACAGGATTCACTGGGATGGGTCCTCAGCCAGCAGCAGAAATGAGAGGCAGGAAGAGATGCTCTTTTCCGAGGTCACCTGGGGGACAGGCGGATGGACGTGCCCACACACACATCCATACATCCCTGTCTCATCCTGTAGTTCCTGCTCACTTTGAAAGGGGTGTTTGGGAACGTTTATGCTCATGTTGGCATAAAAACAGATGGCCATTATGGGGAAGCATTCCCCCTGTGGTTAAAATTTAGCTAGGTTCAAGTTCCTTGTCAGCCGGAAACTCCCTGCACAACTGTGGCATTTGCTTTGTCTTTCTCTGCTTCCCTTTTCCGTTCGGAGAAGAAGGAAACGGCACTGCCCAGCCCCACGGCCACAGCCTTCATGTGCCAGGCTTCATACCAGGGCTGCGTCTGCGCTACGCTGCTTATCTGAGCTTCTGACCCGGCACCTACACCCTGCGCACATCTGGAGGTGCCCAGATGTGCCTGGACAGGAGTCCTGTTAGCCCTGACACCAGGATGTCCCTTGCTGTGTTTCACGCACCTATTCTTGCCTTCTCAAAGGAGATGATTAAGGGGGAGAAGCCAAAAGTGTGCCCAAAAGCAGGACCTGGGCTCCTTCTGAGCAGGGTTTCAGGGGGGACGGTGGCTGGGAGAAGTGAGCCGTACTGTCCCATACCAGCAGGTGTCCCCACGGCCGAGGCATTGCCAGCGTGCAGCCAGCGTGTGCCCGGTGCCAGACACTGCCCCAAAATGAGACAGAGCCTGAACCCCCTTACGGTGTCCATGGCCACGTTTCTGCTTTCCGTCCTCCACCAGCATACAACCTCAGCTGCGTCCTTCTCACCTTGCCAGGTCTGTGCGCTCTCTCGATCAACCACGCCAACTCCTACTTGGCTTATCCCGGCAGTGCGACCAGCGGAGAGATCGCGCTTTACGATGGAAATACTTTGGTAAGTAAGTGCGAAGCTCGCCCATTTGGTTACCAGCAGGGACTGAAAACAAACAGAACCACAGCAAAGCCAACAGGGCCTTTGGGAAGGATGAATTAAATACACTCCACCAAGCTAGACTGCAAGGGAATTGCCCGGCGCAGGCATGTTCCCCATCCCCCTTGCTTGGACGCCATGCGAAGCAGACAGCCTCTTTGAGATCAGGACATCCATCTCCCAGTACGGGATATTAAGGGAAACGTGACCCATTACCCCGCAGTCCAAGGGCCGCTGCCAGGCTGACACAGGAGTTCCTATAGGGGGTTCCTTTAGGAGCGTCAGCAGTGTATCCCATGGGATTGATGTGACCAGGGTGGCTCAGGGAGGGTTGGAGCTGCTCCAGGCGCAGCGCAGGACCTGGAGCAGCTGCTTTGCCATGCCGCGGGCTGGAAGGGATGCCGGACCCGAAGTCACAGAGAGGGTGAGGTGTCCAAAGCCCCCCTCAGGAAATCTGTCCCTGGCGGGAAGCAGGGTCATGATTATCTGCTGTTTATGCCAGGGCTTTGGATTACATAAGGCTGTCGCTCTGTACATGCAGCAGGAGCTAAGGATCTGCAGCAGGGGAGGAGCAGAGCACAAGGGGAAAACACGCTGCTGCTGTGAGAGGTACTAGCGGGGGCCTGGGCTCCCTGCAGGCATCGGGGTGGTGTCGCTGCAGCAGGATTTGCTGTACAGCCGAGCGAATTGCAGGGAGGCCAGCTCTGTCCCTGTGCAAAGAAATGCCAGGCTTCAGAGCCGGCGCAGTCGCGATCCCGCAGCCTGGAGAGGTGGGGAGCTGAGGACCTCTGCCCCTGAAAGGGGCTTTCTGTAATCACAGTGGCCGTAGTAGGTGGGGAGTGAGCTCAAGGCAGCGCAAAGATAAGAAACGCTGCGGATGTTGAAGGGATACCATAAGTGCGACACAATCCCGTGAATCCGTATCGGCAGGCCTGGATGGGGTGCGAGGCAGGGCATGCCCTGCCCTCACGCAGTCCGAGGAGCAGCGTGTCTCTTTGCACTCACATTACCTTCTGCCCTACAGAAAACGGCCTGCACGATTCCTGCCCATGATGGGCCTCTGGCTGCTCTCGCCTTCAACTCCACTGGCTCGAAGCTGGCAAGTGCTTCCGAAAAAGTGAGTGAGCGCTGCTGCGAGCACCCTCCCTGCTGCCCGTGCTCTCTGCCTGCGGCTGGCAGGGGTGTCCCAGCCAGCTTGGCTGCCTGGAGCATGGAGAGCAGGACCTCTGAGCTGCCCGTTCTTAAACACAGCCAACAGAGGACGGGCACTAAAAGGACTCTGACTTGTAAGAGGCCAGTGTATCGGGTTCAGATTGACAGCGGCTGGCAAACAGGAGGGGCCTTTGCACGTCCTGAGTTTCCTGGGTGTGTCAGAGAAAGGGCTCGCGCTCTTTGCCCTGCTCCTGCGTGATCTCTTCATTTGCATTTTTTGCAGGGCACAGTCATTCGTGTGTTTTCCATTCCTGGTGGGCAAAAGCTCTATGAATTCCGGCGAGGGATGAAAAGGTCAGTTCATTCTTCTGTCAGTGACAAGTACACAGAGGGCTCCTGGAGCAGAAATGTAAACACAGGGACAGGGCAACGTCAGATCCTGGTGGCTTTGGCATCTTTTGCAGAAAGAAAACAAGAGCGAGCATATTAGAAATGTCATTGTGTCAGACAGCCATGCTGTGCCCAGCTGCCTCCGGCAAGTTTAGCAATTCAATTCAGTGTGTCGCAGAACAGGGTGACTGCAGAGAACAGAGGTAGATTCTGTCCATTTACTCTGTCCTTTCTTGTTTCTTACTTGAAATAATGAAGTCCCCAAAGTTATCAGCCCAACACTTGCCCTCTCAAAGGAGGTGTTTTGAAGCTACTAAGTCATTTGCGCAGAGCCCAAGTCTCGATGGCAGGAATGGGCTGCCCTTCTGCAGGCTCCCTCAAGTGTTTTCAGTAGATCTTTTCCTGACTTTTCCCTCTTCCCCATCCCTGACCTGCCTGTGATTTTGCACCCACTTCTGCAAGGACAAAAACTGCCGTGACCAAGACACCCCAGCCCTGCTGATCCTGCGCAGGAGGAGATGCCGCATGTATCTGGCTACCCAGCGCTTTGGATGTCCTCCCTGGCCTTTGCAGTGCCAGAAGCTTTAGCTGCTGTAGCGAGGCTGGCACAGATGTTCACTCCACAGGCAGCTCTGTGAGCAAGGACATTTCCACCTCTCTGGCTGTTTGTCACTACCTTGAGGCTACCCCTAGCTCTGCTGAGCAAAGGGATTAGGGAAATGCTAGTCAGTCAGCCTGCAGGCTCAGCAGCAGCCAGGCAGGGTGCTCCTCGCCGTGTATGGGTCTCCTTCCTCCCTGTCCTCTTCTCTGTGAGCAAAACTGAGCAGTTCCCCTTGAACGGTATGCCATGAAATGACCGGTCCTGTCTTTGCTTGGCCCTAGGTATGTGAACATCAGCTCCCTGGTGTTCAGCATGGATTCCCAGTTCCTCTGTGCTTCCAGCAACACGGAGACCGTACACATCTTTAAACTGGAGCATCTCACTGACAGGTGAGGGGGTTAGCCTGGGTTAATCTGCCTGCCCCAGGGGTGTCTCTGCTTCAGATGTCTGCCTTGATGCAGCTGGCCTCCATTTCCTCACCACGTACTCTCCATGAGCAATACCAGCTGCAAACTGTCTCTTTGGCTTTGTGTCCTGTGGGATTCACTCCTTGGAAAAGCTACACACTGCATCCCTGCTGTCAGCCTCTCCAGGCCTGCTCTGGGTTTATTAGCTGCCACTGTCCCCTGCCTCCTTCCCATGTATCCAGCTAGGCTGGTGCACAATGTGTGCAGGTGCTCCAAAGAAGCCTTTGCGTATCTAAGATCAGGATCATTTTGGCTGTTCCTGATCTGTTTTGTCACGGCTGATTGCGGTAGCCCCACTGATGCTGCTTTGTGACCCCCTCAGCCGGCCAGAAGAGCCTCCAACCTGGAGCGGTTACATGGGAAAGATGTTCCAGGCTGCTACCAACTACCTCCCTGCTCAGGTATCGGGCATGATGAACCAGGATCGAGCCTTTGCCACTGTCCGCCTGAACATCTCCGGACAAAGGAACATCTGCGCTCTCTCCACGTATGTATTGACATCTGCGTCCCCTCTGCCACACCAGCCTGTAAGCAGACACGACTATCTCTGCAGAACACCACCACTGTGGCCCCTTATCTTGCACCCGTGCCTGCAGAGCACGCAGCGCGGGTGCGTGCTGTATCTGTGTGTGAGTGCAGGTGTGTTTGGACTCATGATGCTTTTCTAATTAGGATTCAGAAGCTGCCTCGACTGTTGGTGACTACGTCAGATGGACATCTCTATATCTATAACTTGGACCCGCAAGATGGAGGGGAGTGTGTCTTAATAAAGAAACACAGGTAACTATACCTCCAGACACATCTGATACAGAGGCTGATCTTTTAAAAGATTAAGGGAAATTTCACCTGAAAGGACAAAATGGAGCTGTAGGAGCAAGAACGTTAGAACTGACTTTGTGATTTTAGCTGCCTGATCCGACAGACGTGGGTGGGAACCACGTCAGCAGGCAGGGATGTGGGGCTTCTTGCAGAAGAAACCAGAGACATCTCAGATCCCTAGGCAGTTGTGGGACATCTCGGCTTAGACAGCAGAGGTGGGCAGGCTGTGCCTTAGGAGATGCCTCCAGCAGCAGAGCGCTGACCACCACGGTGGCAGGAGAGCAGAGCACCTTCTCCAGCCGTGGAGTGGGTGCTGGAGAGCTGACTTTGGGGGTAGGACGGTGTGGAGCGACGCTGGGAGCTTCTGTAAACAAAAACCCGCACAGATGCACGCCTGCAGGCATGCAGTGCCAAAGCAGAGTCTTCGCTGCCGCTGTTCAGTTTGTATGCAAATTGGATTAAGCATGTAACCTCCCCCCCACATCTGGGCTACTTGGCTCCAGATGTGAAGCCTTTGGGGTGGGGTGCGATGTAACATGTGCTCTAAGCTGGGAGGTGGCTGACAGCCAGGGAAATGCCAGCAGTTTTTTGAAAAGCCACAAAACAAAAGCACTTCAAAGCTGCGCTGTCCAGCGTGCTCCGGCCGCCCTGCCGCCTTCAGACACTGCTGACGCCCGCCTGCTCCCGTCCCGAAGTGGCCATCCGGAGCTGGCGGGCCAGCTTTGTATGTGGGTTCCTCTTAGACTGAAAAGGGCCCTTGGGTCATGAGTTATGTTACATCATACTATATCTCTGCTCAAACTCCATCCTAAACTAGCCAGCGCTGCTTTTGCCATCTAGTCCGCTCCTGTTGGAAGCCCTTTGGAGCCCCCTCTCTGATTAGAAACACTGTTTGCCTTTGTAACCTAAAGCTTTTGTGGTCAATCTGTTCCCTTCTATTCTCGTGCCAGCATTGTCCTCTAGCCGAAGTAGTGCTTTCCCTATCTTCTGCTCCCCCCTCCCTCCCTCGGCTTTACTTGTAGAGCACAATGCTCTCCTCCTCTGCAGCGCTGCTAGGGCTGCAGGCAGCGCCTATATGCAGTGATGCGGATGGGTGACGTGCTTCGAGGAGACGTGGATGCATGTGCTTGTCTTAGCTGGTGCTGGGGAAGGAGTGGTTGGGATCAGAACTAACTCTTCTCCCCTCTCTTGCTCCTGTACAATTAGTCTGCTTGGCTCAGGAAAGATGGAGGAGAACAAAGAAAATGACCTTCGGCCTCCATTACCTCAATCTTACGCAGCAACTGTAGCCAGACAAAGTACAGTGCCTTCAACTTCAACCATGCCAGGTAAGCATCGCATCTGCCCTTCCTCAGGCAGAAGCGAGAAAGCCACCTGAGGCAAAGTGGAAAGTCTCCCACCTTCCAAGGGTTCAACCAGAAACACCACTTGTGCAAAGCAGCCTGGGGCAGCAGGACTCTCTGGAGCTCACCTGGTTCATCCCCTGCCCCAAAAACAGGCCAGGCATTTTCTGCGCTGCTTCTCGGGACCCCTTGCCAGCACTCCTCCTCCTCGTGCAGAGCTGCACCACAAATGGGCTCACCAGCAGAGCGGTAACCACATCCGAGCTTCGCAGTTGGTCAGACAGGAGCTGCTGCCAGGCTGGTTTCCAGGAGTTGAAACTGGGGCTGTAGAAGTCAGATCTCACTATTTTTGTGGCAAGATCGCTACAGATTCTCCCGAACCTCTTACACCTTATCCTAACGAAGCTAGCAGTAAATTGTTGCAGGAGAAGACTGGCCGACTATCTCGTTATATTCCTGGGTCTAAAGGCCCACATACAGATGTGGATCTTATTCTGAAATTGGTGCTTACATTCATGGTGGGAGGAGGAAAGTTTCTGCCACGGGAGCTAGCCATGTAGTCCATTCCTTAATCTGTAGTGTCAATGGAGATACCTTTCTCTTCCGCAGTTCCCCAGAGCTCTGCCAAAAAGCCAGAGAAAGCAGCTCTGTGCTAAAAAGGTGATAAAATAGTGTCTCTGCTGTTTGTTTCCAGCCTCCTTCCATCCATTTATCTGTCATGTTTTGTATTTTTACTTGGACAGGTTATTCGGAGGACGGTGGTGCCCTGCGAGGAGAGGTTATCCCAGAGCATGAGTTTGCAACTGGACCAGTGTGTCTTGATGACGAGAATGAGTTTCCTCCTGTGAGCATTCGGGACCCCTAAAACTGCAATTCAGCCCTCATGCTAAGAAGAAAGTATTAACCTCTTACAGAAGAGATACTGTTGCCCCCACCTTGTCCCAGCTCACTGTGAAGCCTAAAATAACTAATTAAGTTATAGGGACAGTGCCAGGAAAAGTACACCCCCACTAAATGGCAGCTAGGGATGGGGCAAAGATGATCAAACCTAAGAACTAGAGATGGATCTGAACAAACTAGTTGAATGAAGTGCAGATGCAGAATGACGTTCAGCTCCAGATCTGACCTTTGTGCCTTGCGCAGATTTTTAGTATTACCAGGAATAGCTTGAATTTGAACAATACCATCATTTAGAAATAAAAACTTAATACTCCCTGTTGCGTTTACAGTCAGTTGTATTAGTTTATGGAATGCAACTGGGACATACCTGAACCTCACCAGTCTCTTCATTTCCAAGCTAACTGAAAAGGAAACTCCTTTTTCAAGTACAAAGATGAAAGGCATAGCAGAGTTTTAAACCGTTTTATGATTTTTATATGGCACTTTCTCAGTTACTGTTGGAAGAAGATACTGGCTTTTTAAAATCTAACTTAAGCCTGGCAGTGTCTCTCCGGCTCCTTTTCCTATTACACACACATTTATTATGTTAAGTATCTAACCCCTAAATGGACAGATGTTGGTACCGTGCTATGATCTGGTTGTAATCAGCGGTGTCTTCGTAATAGTAATGCATTAATACAGCAGAATATTGTAATGCATTTCAAGTTGTAGACTTGGCAGACTTTTGAATCCCTTACTCCGTTTTTACATATCCTGCTGTTGGAGTTTTGCCTGAAAAGGAGGAAGTAAAAACTTTATCGGGATCCCAGGATTTGTTCCATATGCTGAGGCTGACCTTTGTGAGGCACTTCCCTATTAACTGATGCAAAGTGTTATTTAGATAAAAGGTGACTAGCTCATGACTCCCTTTGAAACAACACTGCCTAAATCCAACTCGGGTTGCATAAACCTGAGACCAATTCTCTTTTCTTACCGGTGACATAACCTGCTGCAAACTGAGAACAAGAGTTTTCTAGTTGTCCTACCCCATTACCCAAGAAGGACATTTAAAATGTCCCTCCTCTGGTCAAAGTCGTGTGGCCACGGAGAAGCTGGTGGCCCAGGCACCTGGAAGGAGCCGCGGGGCCAGAGAGAAATCCTTTGCTTCCTTCTGATGAACCTGCTCTTGAACATGTGGTTCGGGGACAAGCGAATGCCAGCAAGCAGGAATCACGCTGCTCCTGAATGAGCCTTCCTGCTGGGACCATGCCATATAAAAGCAGCCCCAAACCCCTGCTGTACGACAGCAGGTGCTTTATCAAATGAACTTTGATCTGCCAAAATCCTGTGCTGTAATGAACCTGACAGAGCAACTTACATGTGTAAAGTTAGGGAGGAGGTGGTGTGGGAGGGAAGGCGCTTTCCAAAAATATTCCCTGATACGGTGGCTTAGCAATTGGAGCTTCCAGATGCAGTCTCTGCAGCTAGGACTTTGGTTTTGCCGCTCCGTTGCTGACGGTAATGTGTTTTGCTTCTGGTCTACCAGCTAGTGCAGCGCTGGCTCCCACTGCGTGAGTGCATAAGGAGAGTTGGTCGGGATGTTTTGATGCTCTGAATTTCACTGAACTTCACTGTTTTCTCAGCACTGAGATGTTCGGTCTCAATGACACGTTCAAGGGGGGTTTCAGGCATCGGTCACTTCTGTGTGGAGAAGGAGGGAGAGAAAACCTGACCTTATCCAACAAAAATGTTTTGATAGCATTCTGCTTTGCGGAAACATGGGAAGGGTTTTGTTTGTTTTCCAGTGTGCAAGAAAAAGACATTTAAAAACCTCAAAACTTGTGACAAAATGGAATATTCACCCGCAGCCCACGCCACGAGTACGGCTTTGAACTTAGACATACTTTTGGAGAAACAGCAGTGCTCAGACCCAGCAGTTCCTCTCCATTTTGAAACATCTTGCCTTCCCCTGACCTCAAGCAAGACTTCAGAGGCTCAGCTGTTCAGAGCGAGGAAAAGCAGCTTCAGTCTAACATTAAATCTGTTGCTGATTGTCGAAAACTGCCTCTTCATTAAACAGAAGGAGGGACAGATCAGAGAAGAGATGAGAAGCCCAAGGAGGGCTCATAAAAAGTGGCCTCAACAAGAGCGAATGTGGATGTTGCTACTGATTGTGCCAGGACTGCTGAAGGATCCTGCGGCAAGAGGTTAAACAAGTTCAGTTACGCCTCTTGCTTGCATTGGTGGGGTGGATTAAGCGCTTTCAGGTCTGCCGTTGATCTTACGCAGAAAGGCTCAGGGGTTATTGAGATGGACAGCAGGCTAAAGCCTCAGGTGAGGTGAAGGTGCCGCGCTTGCGACGTGCTGGGAGGAGGCTGCGCCGCCCTTGCTCTGCGTGGTCAGAAGGCTTTGCGGGATGGGAAAAGCAAACCCAGCTCTGGCTGCAGATGGTTGCGGCAATTACGGCTGTTTTCTGGTTACCTGCCTGAGCAGCTGCCACCTTCCTGCGGGTTTATCAGTGTCGGTGAGGTTTCCAGCCGTGTCGGGAGCTGTTGGTGTGTGCTTCGGGCCAGGCAGGGCACCACTCGGTGAGCTCCACTTTTGGGAGCCACCGTAGTGGCTCTCCCCACGGAGGCATGGTCAGAACAGTTTTTGGGTAGTGCTGTGAGGTTTGACAAAAGAAATCCTACAGGATTCAGCAAGCAAGATGGCCTTCGTGGACCCGAGGAATGCACATCAGGAGATCTCTCTTAAAACTTCTGAGATTCAATAGGAAAGGTGATTTCTTCCAGCAGATTGCTCAGTGTGTTTCCAGCCATACATGATCCGTCCTGCATTTGGCTGCACGCTGAAGCTTGTCAGCTTCGGGGCCGGAGTTGATGTGAAGGCTTTATCGGGAGACCCATTTCATTAAGTCAGGCTAGATTGCATACGGCGGTCAGCTCTTCAAAGACAGCTTCCCCTCACTGATACACAGTCTCAAAAAACACCTCTCACATCGATTTTTGGCAACCTCCAAAACTGTTTGGGCAGCTTGCCTGTGCTGCCAAAGGATGCTGCTGCCCGTGCGTGCCCGTGGCTCCTGCCTGCAGCATTCATTACGGGGTGCTGAGGGTGGAAGAAAAACTTCCCCCCCGGCAGTGAGCAGCAGCCCTCAGCAGCTCCTCGCTGAGCTCCCACTCTTGCTTGCTCCCTGGAAGGACGGGCAGGAGCACGAGCTCCAGCAGCCCATGCGCCACGGCCGCCCTCGGCAGCACGACGTCCCCACCCTGGGAGCGCTGCTGTCTGCAGGGCGGAGAAATCGGTGCCCCAGCGTGGGGTCCGCGCACATCCCCGCTGCTCCAAACCATGGATCTTAATACAAGCAGCCAGGCTGCAGATGCATCTTCAGCTCCACGGGACCGGTATTTGCCCAAGTTCCTCCTCACTGTTTCCTGGATTGTTTCATTCGTTCTGTTGCGCGGATATGCGACACTAATGATTTTAAGTGATTTTTTTCTTTTTAACAGCTGGCTGCGAGCAGAGGAAAGGCAATAGATTTTGCTGTGGGGCTCTCCTAATAATCATGTTTCCTGGGGGATGAGCAAGTTTGGCAGAACCTGACTGGCTGCTTCTTCCTCACGGCAGCTCCTGCCCCGGTAGCTCAGACAGGCATTTTGGGCAGCTGGGGCTTGCAGGATTGAGCCCAGCTTATCAGTACATTATCTGAGGTCCCTTGGGAAACATGCAATCCAGTGCCAATGCTTGTGCCTCAAAACTGGGCAAGTGATGGTCCTGAAGCCCACGGAGAGACAGATCCCGGGAGGAGGGACTGGCACAGACCCTCCTGCAGCTGGGGCTGCGGGGATCGCATCCGTACCGCTGGGAGATGCAGGTCAAGTCTGGCAAGGCTGGAGCTGATAAAGGGAGACCTGCGCCTTGGCTCATGGTTAGTGGCCGTAGAGGCCCCCCCCCCGCGGGCGGGCGCAGCCCC